TGACATGTTTCCCCACCGCAAGATTCATCGAACCCACTTTTCTTTCCCGAATCTCTCAGACTCAGATCTTGAGTCCCTCCCAGTCGAATTCCCAGAAGTCTTGCTAAATATGGATGAAGCATGTCATGATTCTTCGCTTTGGACTCTTCTTATCACAAACTGTGGAAATATGGGCAGCGTACAGCAACAGTCATCCGGCCTTAGCTCAGTTGGTAGTAGCGGCAGACTGTAGCGGCGCCTTCGCTGAGATTGCGGGCGCCACAGACATCTGTAGGTCCCCGGTTCAACTCCGGGAGGCCGGAGGAGGGCGTGTAGATGCTGCATGATGATGCACTCCCACAAGACGCAACCACCTGGGTGTGCGAAACTTTTTCTTCCCACACTGACACGCATTTTCTGCATGCTGAACTCGACACGTTTCCCACTGCGAAACAAACCCGTTTTCCTTTGCCAAACACGTCTTGATTTCGATTCTTCATTTTTGGGCTTGCTCTCTCTGTCTCTGTATCTACATGAGAGATAGCTATGCACTAGATGTTCAACCCGCCTTAGCTCAGTTGGTAGTAGCAGCAGACTGTCGTGGCGCCTGAATCCAGCAGAATCGCCGGCATCAGCAGGCATCTGTAGGTCCCCGGTTCCCCCGTTCAAATCCGGGAGGCCGGAATATACCTTTCTCTGTTGATTTCTCAGCTAGCGGTGTGTGCCAAACCCAAGGGTTGCAATTTAGTCGACAGAATCACCACCGACCTTTTTGTTTTTGACTTGCAATTACTTTCCACCAATACCAGGGCCAGCACATCCCATCTTGAAAGCGCTTTCCTCCATAGGTCCGAACGTCTTGGTCCCCCACAGAACAGTATAGCTGGAAAATGTCGTTGAATTCGGATCCTATGATCCCAAAAAGGTTCTTTGATTTCGAGACGCTTTTAACCCATTTCGACGAGGCCTGCGTACCTCCCAGCCACCCTTTCTTCAAGATTCAAAATTCGTTCTAGTTCTCCGCACAACCAGGGCAGGATGTCTATGATTTCCTGAGCAGCAGCGTTTGATAGATTCCATCAAACGGTACGCATCCCACTTCAAATCCCCCAAACGATTCAGATGGGTCAATGACGATTTCAATCACGCACCATACAGATGGTCCCAATCAGAAATAAGTTACGTAATGAACGTTTGAGGTTATGAACCGCACGTCCGCCAGACACTTCAAACTTGGAATCAATCAAGCTCCCGCTTGACACTGCACATCTTTACTTTGACGCTGTTTTCCACAATCCTTGCTCGGTGGGAGCGAACTTCTTTGAGTTTTCCGTCTGTTCCCGCACCTTGAGGCATATGGAGCATGTGGAGCGAGTCCGGGCAACCCAACGGTTGACATGTTAAATCCCACATCCGTGTCTCTTCTCTGATATCCTTGTGTGTTCTTCAGTATGTTCTCTCACGACCCTGGGTCGCAATTTCGCAGAGTGGGTGCGAAACCGTGGATTCGCATATCCCCACCAACTACCCCACAAATATGGATGTATAAAAGCACACTCCTCTCGCGTTCTGTTTCAACAGACACTCACATCCATCACATCTCCTCGAAAGATACTCATCAACTCTTCAGTCGAGCTTCTCTTGCCATCAATCATGCGCACTGCTCTTGTCCTCGCGATCGCCCCTCTTGCCGTGGCTCTCCTCGGCTCCCAGCCCACCACTGCGGAGCCTTTGCCCGGCTACTACGATGGCAAGAAGTACGACGGCTACTACAACAAATACAGCTTCGAGCAAACCTGTGAGTGCCAAGATATACGCCTTTCTTGACCTGACTATGATTTAGATTCTTTTCACCTCGTGCTAATGGATACTTGTTACCTGGATTTCTTCGCACTCCTTTCATTAAAACAGATGAGCAATGCTTGAAAATTTGCCACGCCAACAAGGATAAGAAGTACCAGAAACGCTGTTTCTACCAGTGCGAAGCCCTCAAGAAGGCCGCTCACCGCAACGAGTACTGGGATGGCAAGTACGGCCACTACGACGGCAAATACTACGACGGCAAGTACGATGGCAAATACTACGACAACAAGTACGATGGCAAATACTACGAAAACAAGTATGATGGCAAATACTACGACAACAAGTACGACGGGAAATACCACGACGGAAAGTACGACAACAAGAACTACGGAAAATA